CGCGCCCCCCCCCCCCCCCCGCCAGCAGGAAGCCGGCCGGCCGCGGCAGCGCCGGGGCTGCTCACACAGCGTGGGATCCTGGGTGGGTCACAAATAAACACCCAGCCTTCGGCCTTGATTTTTCTCCCCGCTTTGGTTGCAAACGCAGCCCGGAGGGTTTCCTCTCACCGGGCCGCGCTGGCCGGGGTGCCCCAGGGCCTGGGGGGGGCTCAGTGACGGTGCAGGCAGGCAGGCAGGCGGGCGGGCAGCAGCAGGCAGCGGGACCCCTGCCGGGGTCTGCGGGGCTCGGACCAGCGGCACAAGGCCGGGGGGGAGGTGAGAGAAGGGGCAGAGGGGTGGGAGCAGGATCAGGGCAATGGGCGCAGGAGCAGGGGGAGCAGGAGCAGGGTGATGGGGACAGGATCAGGATCAAGACAGTGGGAGGAGGAGGAAGGGGAGCAGGAGCAGGACAGTGGGAGGAGGCGGATCAGGGCAATGGGAGCAGGAGCAGGGTGATGGGGACAGGATCAGGATCAAGACAGTGGGAGGAGGAGGAAGGGGAGCAGGAGCAGGACAGTGGGAGGAGGCGGATCAGGGCAATGGGAGCAGGAGCAGGGTGATGGGGACAGGACCAGGGTGAGCAGGATCAGGGCAGTGGGAGCAGGAGCAAGGGGAGCAGGGTGTGTGGGAGCAGGACAGCAGAAGAAGGAACTGGATCAGGGTGATGGGAGACCGAGCTCCCTCCATGGCTGTGCGGGGCCATCTCCAGAGACGGGCACCCTCCACGGGGGCTGTAACTGCCACCCTGCTGCCCTATGCCGTCACCGAACAGCACCGGGGAGGGGCTGCGGGGACACGGGGGAGCAGGCAGCGCTGGGGAGGGAACCCCCGGGGAGACCTGCAATGAACTGCCTGCAATGCCCAACGCACCCTCGTTTCTCATCAGGTGCTGCCGCTGGCTCCTCGCCTGCTGTCCCTGCAGCGCTGGGCAGCCATAACCGGCACCCCCGGCCCCTGCCCGGCCGCATCGTGCCCAAAATGCCCCCGTGCCAGTGCCCAGCCTTGGCCACCCTGCTTGCCCCCAGCCACTGGGGACCTGTGGGACTGTCGGGACCACGCAGACACAGTGAGGCCGTGGGACGTGTGGCATCCCACGGCCCCCGTGCCCTCTCTGTCCCGCAGCCACCCCACCTCTTTGCCCAGGGCTCCCGGGGTGGGGTGGGGGGGTTGTACCCCAGGGCAGCACC